TGCTTTGGGCCCAGACAGCGTTTTTGGCAAACTGGGTCCTAGGACAGGGAGCAAATACATGTGCTCCTTTCCATTTGTGTTTTAGTCTACCCAGAAATAAGTTGGATTTTTTGGTTTGCTTTATTTTTCAACTTCCTTGCTCCTTTGGGAGAGTCACTTAGCTGCTAGGCTGACAGTGGGTGTGAGTGTGCTTTGTGTGTGCATGGGAGACTCAGAAATGAACTGAGGCTGCAGAGCAGGTGGGTTGCACAGGGCTCCTTGTGGGGGAGGATCTGGCTGGAACAGGAAAGTGCACTCTTCATGTCCAGGATGAGAGCTGTGTGAGGGCTGAGAACTGGAAGGCGGGAAGGAGGTTTCTTATACAGTTTGCCTGAACTCAGGTTCCAGAATGATGATGCCTTGCAGGTAGTTATGTGTCTTAATCATTTACATCCTATAGGCTGGAGAGTGACTGTCTCCCAGGCTGGTCCTGGAGGTGGTTTGTGCTACAGATAGGGTCAACATCTTCTAGTCCAGTGACTCTCAATCCCTGCTGACCATTAGAATCACTTGGGCGTGTTTTAAATGGACACCAATGCCTGGAACCCACCCCAGCCAATAGAAGTTGAATCCTTTGGGGCTGCCCAGTGTTTCATTGCACAGCCTGACTAAAGACTGCTGAGGTGGCTCAGCCTTTTTGCATTTGGGCTATAGGTTCAGTGCCTATTTTACTCCTGATCTGGAAGAGCTGTGACTTCAACGTCTGGTATAGGTAGGTATATATGGAGGGCTGCCAGTTTCCTTTAGGCCTTGGCCCTCAGCTGCTGCTCCCAAGGCCTGCAGTTCATGTCACAGGTCCCGCCGAGAAGGAGCTGATTCACCTTTCTTGTGAAGGGAAAGAGAAGGAACCACTTGGCTGACTCCTTGGTCTGGTAAAGAAGGCTAGGGAAAAACATCCACTGATTGATAGGGAGAAAGATGGGAGCTGAATTTTGGAGGGGAGAAAAAAAAAAGCAGACACTGAAAACTTTCAAGAAAATAAAAATGAACTCATCCTGAGAGACTGAGACCCTTCTCTGCCATTTTTCAGTCTGAAATGACAGACATCTGTCTGATTCTTCTACAAAGAATCAGCAGTTCTCACCAGGACCTGCTGCAGCTGTAAAGTGTCCCAGTTACTTACTTCTTTGAGTGACCACTCCTCCTTACTCCCCGCGCATTTGCGTTTTCCAAGACTAAGGGTTGCCAGCAACTTTGCTGTTTAAAATAATGAATAGGAATGAAACATCCCCCTCTTGATAGGCGTGTCTAAGTCACTTGGACTCAAGAGAATTAACCCAAGGGCAGTGCTTCAAATAGGCAGTTTCTGGACACAACATTCCACATTTATCTTAATTTTATAGTTTCCTTTTTTTTTTTTTTTTTTTAAAGATTTTATGTATTTATTTGTGAGAGACACAGAGGCAGGGACACAGGCAGAAGGAAAAGCAGACTCCCTGTAGGGAACCTGATGTGGGACCCAGGGATCATGCCCTGAGCTGAAGGCAGATACTCAACCACTGAGCCACCCAGGCATTCCAATTTTATAGTTTCTAAGGAAACCAGACCCTGTGTCCATTTCTCAGTCCAGACCTAGATGGATCTCTTTCCCCAAAGCTTTGCTTTGCTTTGAGCCTATTTAAAGCACTATGTCCTTTGATTTTTACTCCATCTTTGCCCAGAATTCTATACTGACTCGATTTTTCCGTTTGTTTGGTGATGCGTCCCACAGTTCCTCTGCTGTGTGGCCTCCCTCACTGCAGTGAGTCAGGAGACGTGACTTTGTCAGACTGTAAGTTTGGCCCTGGGCCACACCTTTGATGCTTCATTTAAGTTCTAATCATGGTATTTCGTAGTTCTTTGTTTTTCTTGAGGGACCCGGCTTCTCGAACACTTGCTCACTGTGATGGATCCTGAGTGCAGCTCAGAAAGAGGTGAGGATGTCTGTGGAGCAAAGTGTTTGACACAGGACCGTCTCTCAGTGGCCATGGTGGAGAGTGATGCAAGGGGCCAGCAGAGCTAGGACGGGATGAAGACAGTGCCAGACCACAGGGCAATCAGAGGCTAGACATCTCCCCTGGACCATCTTCAAGAGGTTGCTTCCCACTGGCTGGTCCCCTTCCAGGCGCTCACCTCTGGCCCTGCTGTTCCTCTTCCCTCCTTGGGCCACTAACTGCCATACTGTTGCGCCTTTCCATCCCTAGTCTCTCCCTTGGAAGCTCCATCCCTTCTAGACAGCCTTCAGGCCACAGGCTGCTCACCTGCCCACTCATTCATTCTTGTGGCAGGTATGCTGCTGAGACCCCTTCTAGGTGTGAGACAGGAAACTAGGAGCCACAGAGCATGAGGATATGGAAAGAACATCCAGAAGCCTACCTCCTTCAGGATCTTGTAATCAAGTAATATATTAGATAGTATTTTAAATTAAATATATATTTTTAAAAATAGAATATTCTGTATATTATACAGAATGCTGATTCTTTCTTCATTTTAAAAAGAAATAAAAATCACCCCTATTCCTGTTATCCCTGAGGAACCTGCTTCTCTGTCTGCCTCTGCCTCTGCCTCTCTTTGTGTGTCTCTCATGAACAAATAAATAACAAAAAAATCTTTGAAAAAATACCATAGACTAGGTGGCTTATAAACAACAGAAACGAGTTTCTCACAATGGTGGGGAAGTCTAAGTTCAAGGCACTAGCAGATTCATTGTCTGGTGACGGCTTGATTCTTATGTCACAGACAGCAATCTTCTGTGTTCTTACATGGTGACAGGGACCAGGGGGCCTTCTGGGGTCTCTTTTACAAGGGCACTAATATCATTTGTGAGAGCTCTGCCCTCATCTAACTGCTTCCAAGAGGCTCCACCTTGAAATACCATCACATTGGGTGTTCATTTGTGAACATGTGAATTTGGGGAGGGGTACAAACATTTGGTGTCTAGGAATAACCTCAAGTATAGTTATGACATTCAGAAATCTAATATTGATAGAACACTTTTATTAATCAACGATCCCTATTCCAATTTTGTCCATTGTCTCAGTAATGTCCTTGAGAGTATCTTCCCATGATGCAGACCAGAATCACATATTACATTTAGTTGTCTTTCTCTTCAGTTTCCTTTCATGGGGACCAATTCCTCAGTTTTTGTCTTCATGACATTGACATATTTGATGAACAAGGCTGGTTATTTTATGGAATGTTCCTCAATTTGGGTTGGCCAGATGTCTACTCATGATTAGATGCAGTCCCTCCAGAATACTATTTGAGTGACACCATGAAGTTCCCACGTGTCACATCCAGAGCCACATAATGTCCATCTGCTCCTCTTTTGTCCTTTTAACATGTCCCCATCATTCTGTGGGCTGGCAGTTTCATTACTTTCTGGGACACCAAGATGAAACAGTTTCATCTTGTCTCTTCTCTTCCCCAGCTCTGGAGTCTGTCACTTCTCTAAGGACCCCTCGATTCATTCTAATAGAACAGGGTCTGGATGTCATTCTGTGTCTTTGCTATTCACATACTGTCCATCTAGCTCTATTTATCTCCTTGTTTTTTAAATTGGAATTACTCTAGTTGTATGCATTTCATGAAACCATAATCATTTTCTCATGTCATAAATTCTGAAAATATGATTTTAGGTGGCTTCATAGTGATCAATTGTATGAATGGACCATTACTTACTGAACCATCCATCTTTATAAAGAATGCAGTGGTGAGCATTGTCAGCATGTACATCTGACCACACCTTTGAACATCTCTGGTTGTTTCCTTAGACTAAATATTTAGGGGGAAATTTTGCTAGGATGGCAGTGTGAGCATTGTGTATAAGTGGGGAAATGGTTTAGGCCATTTGAGTTATAAGAGGTTAGAGCAGCAACTGTTGTAGTTAAGGACTAGTGCCAAGGCTTGATCTGGTCTGTGAATGTGGAGGTAGGGGGTGGAGAGGTTGGGTGCTCCATGCAAGGGGTGAGGAGAGACTGGAGGCAGCATGGGGCGTGGTATGCACAGAGGACTATTGCAGGATTTTTATTGGGAAGAGAAAGCAGCAGAAGTTGGCTGTAGGGTCTGGTGTCCTAATGAGCAAGGGAAGGGAGGGAGTGTAGAGGCTTCTGCTTCCTTCACCAAGCAGAGGATGGTGCTGAGAGAGCTGTGGGGTTCCAGGGAGGATTTGGGGCAGAGCCTGGAGTGTAGTGAGGCATGAACCCCCAGTGTTTGCAGCAAGCCCTTTGTCCTCCAGCTTGGCATCTTCTTACCCCCTTGAGCTTGGCTTTTTCCCTATGGGAAGAGGGCCCAGTAGTAAGGTTACTCGTTGCTTGGTTTCCTTTCATTGTGGGCTAATGCCTGTGGCCTGCTTTGCACAAAGCCCTCCTTTTCAGGGGCCCCTGCTCTGGGGCGAGGCCAGGGCAAGCAGGCCCCTGTCCTGAGCTTCATAGCAGCTCCAGGCCTATGGGTAAAGGAGAGCTTGAAGGCTGTGAGCTGGGTACTGTCATGCTTGAGTTTTACCTGTGGGGAGCTTTCTCTGGGGACGGAGCCTAGGCTGCATCTTGGAGAGGGAACTTGCATCACTTGAGAGGTCCAGAGCAAGGTAGGGAGGCTCTGGTACCCTGGGAAGACTGGAGAGGGCTGGGCCCAGACCTCACCTTCAGCCTGTGTGTTTACTAGTGCTTGGGAACTGGAGAAGGCTTAGAGCGAATCTCAGGGATTTGGGAGAAGAAGGGAGAAAATGGGAGACCTTTTGAAGAGGACCTGGGACAGTCATCCAGTGTCTTAATGGTCTGTATGAGATGACTTTAGAAAGCCTTCAGACCTTGGAAAGCCGTCTTCAAGTCACTAAGAAGTGAGGCTTCACTGGCAGTCATCAGTGGGGAGTCCTGGGGGCTGTGGGACCCCAATGGTAAGGGTAAGCTCTGGGGTGTGGTCCTTAGGGTCTGGAGGATGGTTGACGGCAGCTGATCTACTTTCCTCTCCCACCCCTTCTCTAGACATCGTTCTATGGTCGCCTCAGGCACTTCTTGGATATCATCGATCCTCGCACGCTCTTTGTCACTGAGGTAAGTCATGGGTGTCACTCTCAGCGGAGGCCCTTTGTCACTGTAGAAGATCCATGGGTCATCTCTGTGTATACTTTATACACATTGTCTCATTCCATTTGCATCTTACAACATCCCTTCAAAGTAGATATACAGCATCATTATTATTTCCAAACTCTAATAAAGTTGTTACCCAGTACATGAACGACACACTCATTACAAAGTTCAGATGGTACAGGTGTGTTACAGTGGAATGAAAAGTATCCTTTATATACTCTCAGTACCCAATTCTCTCCTCTTGCAGCTAATGTTAGGTTTCTTAAGGCATAGTTTACCTTTTGTATGTGCACCATTCTGAGTTTTGACAGACATAGTCATGTATCTGCCACCACTATGAGACTGTAGACACTTCCATCACCCTATGATGTTCGCTCACGCTCATTTATAAAGTTGCTCTCCCCAGCTCCTGCCAGCCTCTGGCAACCACTCATCTGTTTTCTGTCCCTACCATTTTCCTATTTTAAATGTCATATAAATGGAATCCTACAGTATGTAGCTTTGTACATCTGGCTTCTTTTCCTTAGCATGATGCTTTTGAGATTCATCCATGTGGCTGCATGTATCAATAGTTGGTGACCTCTGATTGCTGAGTCGTATTCTGTTTAAAGGACGTTGTAGAATTTGTTCATCCATCTACTTGTTGACGAACACCGAAGCTGTTTCCAGTTTGGGGCTATTATAAATAAAATACTGTGAGCATTCTTTGTGTGGACATATTTTATTTTATTTTTGTTTGATGGTAATATTCTATCTTTGTGACACTATTGCAACCAAATTGGCTTTACCATCTTGGTTTTAGTAGGTATAGAAGACAATGGATTACCATCTTTATTGCTGTAATGTGTTAAGCATTATATCTTAGTAGAATCTAGTTTAATTGTTTCTGGTAGAAAAGTATTCTTTGAGTTTCCTTTTTTTTTTTTTTTTGTTGAGTTTCCATTTTGAATATGTTTGGACTAAAACAATAAACAACCAATGTCTGCAGCAAAAAAAAAAAAAAGAAAGAAAGAAAGAAAAGAAAAAGAAAAGAAAAAATTCTTTTGAGTAAATAACTAGAAATGGACTGCTAGCTCATATGGTAACCGTGGTAAATGTACATTTAACTTCATAGGAAGCTGTCAAACCATTGTTGAGAGTGGCCCTACATCTGCAATGTTCCAGTTGCTCTATATCCTTACCAACATGTGGAATTGTCAAATTTAAATTTATTGCCAGATTTGTTTCAGCCTTCATAAGAAGTATGTCTTTATAGGTTTTGTATGTGTATAGCAGTGCATGCACATATAAAATATGTGAAATATTTTTGAGCACTTGAGCAAATATTTGTTAAGCACTTACTGTGAGCAAGGCAGGTTTGCAAGTGTTTTACATGCATTAGCTCATCAAGATTAACTCAAAGCAACCCTACAAAGTAGATATTCTTCTTTTTTTAAAAAAGATTTTAATTATTTATTCATGAGAGACACAGAAAGAGAGAGAGAGGCAGAGACATAGGCAGAGGGAGGAGAAGCAGGCTCCATGCAGGGAGCCCCATGTGGGACTCAATTCCGGGACTCCAGGATCACACCCTGAGGCGAAGGAAGACGTTCAACCACTGAGCCACCCAGGCATCCTGGTGAATATTATTCTAAGTTCCATTTTACAGATAAGGAAACAGAAGTTAAATCACACACACATGGTGCTGGCTAATGGTGGAGCCAGTGTATGATCCAGGTAAGCCTACTTCCAGAACCCTTATTCTTAACCAGTTTGCATGCTGGTCGGGTAACAATTCCAAGATTACTCAGCTGGCAGAGGGCCTGAGCTCTCATGCTGGGTCCCCACATATCCCAAGGAAAGACATTGAGCCTTTGAGTTGGCTTACTGTGTTGGCAGCACTTCTCCGCACATCTTCTCTGTATTGAGCACTGGCTTGCCTCAGCCCAGGAGTGGATCCCTCTGGGAGGTAAAAGTCATGATAGAAAGCAGCACAAGGCCTTCTGGGCACCTGGGCCTAGAACAATCCCAATGGGGCCTGGGAGAGTAGCCCAGTAATGTGAAAGGCGGGAATTACCCTGATATGTGGTTTCCTACTGGAACTCAGCATGGACAAAGGGCTCAGGTACTTTACTGACTGACTTTACCTGCCCCTTTTAAGGTCAAGGCTGCTGTACTCTGAGCTCTGTCTGGATTCTCCTAAGGAGTCATCAATGTGACTATATAAAAGTTTGGAAAAGCACCAAGCTAGAGAAACTACTTACCTAGCCTAGGTTATGTGTCTTTTTAGAAAGCTCTGGAATGGTGCAAAACTAGATACAGTTGTAACATAAATCCCAACAAAAATGCCACCTGTTTGATGGAAAAGACCACAGAGGCCAGTGCTTAGCTCAAAGAATAGGTGCTAAGGGTGTGTTTGAGGCACGGTGAGAAATGGTGGAGAAAGACAGAAGGTCAGGAGGTACTTCAGGCTCCCCAGATTACTACAAGTAGGCAGGGGTTTTGAGGATGGTTGGACAGCTATAGGGCGGTATGCCAGCTGTGCCAGGGGCCTATATTCTCCTTCCTCTCCAATCCACCCTCTTCTCATTCCCAGACCATTTCATTTCTTCTTCTCCTTGTGCCACATCTTTCTTGCATTTTGAATGGCCCCAATATTCTTGTATATCACTAAGCCCTTTTTGACTTGTTTCTCCTATCAGCAATTGACATGACAAAGCAACTTAACTATTTACTGGCCAGAAAATAAACAGTACAACTTTAATTTTGAAATATTTTTCAAATTTCACACGTCCCCTCCCCTCATCAAAGATTTGGTTAGGCTTCTCAGAAAGACTCACACCCACCATCCCCTTGCTCCCTGGTCGGGGACTGTTTCCAGCACTACATGCTGGTCTTTTGGAAAGTTTTTGTCCATAGGTCATCATCAAAGCCTAAAAACTCTGGAAGGTCCATTACTCACTGGTTCTTGCCCAGGCAGGTTGCTTAGTAAGACCATCTACAGGGAAGCAATGAGAAATTAGAAGCAAAGAGAGGAGTTACCTGAGGCTGTCCCCCATGAACTGTGGCACTTCCAGGAGGGCCAGGTTCCCCTTCTGCTGGGCTCAGTCCATAGACCATGATTAGTGTCTACAGAGCACTGTTTCTCTCTCAGGGTCCTTGGCTGGTGTTCTGGGAGGGAGTGTGGCGTGGCAGGCACCCAGCTGGAAGAGATCTGGACAGACCTGTTTTCCCGTGAGGGGGATAGGTTTGTGGAGACATGAAAAGGTGGTTCAGGAAACTGGAGATTCTTGAGATAGAAAGATCCTGGGCAGCTTGAGCCATCTGGTGACCTGGTTCTGAAAGGCATTTGCTGAGTCGATGGATAGACACATCTTGAGAGACTTTTGCAGCAATTTGTCACTTATAATTGACCAAGCTTTAAAAAGATTCCAACCCTTGTATGTGTAATGAGGCATAGGAAATTTTATTCACCATAATTTCTCTTAGGAAGAAGGCTGTCTTTGTCATAAGAACGTCTTGAGCAAGGCGTCAGAAGAAGAGGTTGGTCTGCTTGACAGAGGGGGAAGAATTGTGGTTTTCGATTCTGCCAAGAGAGGAGAGAGAAGGAAGGAGAGGGAGAAACAGTGGGAAGGAGAGCAAGCATCTGGGATGAGCTGAGAGGCCTGTGACTGGGGCTATCTTGAGACTGGTCATGCCTACTGGGTGGTGAAAGTTGTTGATGTGTTGTACCATTCTCCCCTCCACCATCATTCCTGGGAAGTTGACAGTAAAGTCTGCTTGGTTCTTGAAATTTCTGCAAGAGTAGACTATTTAGGGATGGATCTTGAGGAGCTGTGAGTCTCCTATCGTGGTGCAGTGTGTACAGGATCAGCCCCAGCTTTGGCTTTGCACCTAGGTCATGGAATTAGATCTAGATCTCTAAGGGCAAGGTTGTACCAGCTGACATCAAAGTTACTTTTAATTATGGGCTGAAGATGAAAGGAATTTGCTCTTCTAAATTCAATAATTATTTAAGGGAATGAATGGTTGACAGATTATCATCCTGAAGGTCAGGGAAAACTAACTGGAATATTAGTGTTAATAACATGAACTCAGTGTAGGATAGACTAGATAAATAATTATATTGATGTTGGAAACTAGGGTTCTCACCATGAAATTAGGAGGATATAGATCCGGAGGAGGGGAAAGGACAAAGGATTACATGATATTATATTGAATTGGAAGTGTGGAATATGAACTCGTGGCACACACACACACACACACACATTTATGTTTATAATTTCCCAGTTTCCTGGCTCTGCTCATTGAAAGGGCATAGAAGCAATGGTACCTGGTAACAGTGAACACATTTAGCACTCAGATCTTGGTTTCTAAATACCACTACCTACTAAAAGAAACTGAAGCTTCTTGGAGAGGTGGCCAAATCCACATCTGGGACAGGGAGAGCTGCTACAGAAAGTAGAAGGGAGCTCATGAAATGATGGAGACACAGGAACTGGCTTGAAGGGACCCCCCCTCGTGACATTTGGGGAAGTTTGAACATTAAGAAGAATGAAAACAGTGGTTATAACACACTAAATAATCATAATAGTAATAATAATAATTCTGCAAGTCAATAATAACAATAACATGAAGGAGGAGGAGGAGAAGTCCATGAATCTGTAGTAATACTAATAATTACTAACTTTTATAATACTAAAAGTGTGGGAGAGGAAAGCTGGTCTTCATCGAAGAATGTTAGCTGATAAATGTAGAAGGAAAGAACCATCGTGTAACGCTCAATGAACTCACTGCCTCTGACCAGAATCATCAGTGGATGCTACTTGCATAGAGCAACGAGTTGTAGGGAAATGGGATATGCGTATGCTCTCAAGTAAGTCTCACTCTGAAGAGGAGTTAGCAAAGAGGACAAGTTACCTTTACAGTAAAGAGCTCAGAGGACACCACTTTAGCCAGGTGGCCAAACTTAGCATCACTGGTGA